AAGTGAATCTGAAAGAAACCTATGAAAGCAGATGTGTTAGATGTGCTTAAACTATTTTAAACAAATAAGGCTCCTCAGAGCTATGTATTTGATAAAAGTGCTATCAGTCATGCAATGCTCCTGAGCAGGATAGGACGCTAAAATTAGCCCAGATTCCAGATAATTTATATAACAATTACAGCTTATTAAAGTTGGTCAAGAATTTGCAGTTCGAAATAAGCCAATGAAACAAACTTAATTTAGAAACAATTTCTTTCAATATTCAGGCTGTTATGTTACAGAAAACAGACTTACTGAAGTGTTTTCATTACTTTTATGAGAACTGTGTTCAAAAAACACATTTACAGAAAAAATGGTTCATTCTTTGCTTCATCCATAAGAAAGCTGACTTTGAAGAAGTCTGTAGCAAAGTTAGGCTTTAACTATGATTTCAGGGAATCATAGAATCATTTGAGTTGGAATGAACACTTAAAGATCATCTAGACCAACTCCCTTGCACTGAACAGGGACATTTACAGCTACATCAGGTTGCTCAGAGCTGCTTCCAGTCTGACCTTGAATGTCTCCAGGAACGGGGCATTAACCACCTTTCTGGGCAACCTGTTCCTCACCACCCTTAACATAAATATATATATTTGTTCTTATATCCAATCTAAATCTCCCCTCTTTTAGTTAGAAACCATTTTCCCCTGTCCTATCACAACAGACTCTCTGGTGCACAATAGGCTTTCATAGGAAGGGCTTACCATCCACCAGTACTTCCCTCCAAGCCCTTCCAGCAGGAACGTGCTCCATCATTTCATCCTTCAGCTTGCACTGTTAGTGGTGGTTTGCCATGACCCATGTGCAAGACTTTGCACTTGAATTTGTTGGACCTCAGGAGGTTCACCTGGGCCCACTGCTTGAGCCATCCATCTGATGTGTCAACCACATCCCACAGCTTGGTGTCAGCTGCAAACTTTCTGAGGGTGCATTTGGAGGCATTAAGGAGCATTGGTCCTGGTAGTGGCCTTGAGGAACATTGCTTGCCACTGATCTCCATCTGGAAATTTCACTCTAAGAGAGCCTGAAGAATGCTATAGCTTGCGTGTTTCAAATCATTTTAGACTTGAATTCAGGAAGGGATGAATCATTTTTCCCCCTACTTAATGTCACAAGCTATGTTTTATTTCCTTTTCATACTGAAGCTTCACTGTCCTAGAGCTGTCAGAATAGGTTGAGCATCTACTTACATAGAGACAAGTTACATTCTATGCTCAACCTCTCAATGTGTTTTTTAAACTTCAACTGTAACTATGCTTTGCATGCCAGTAGCCATCAGTATTTTTGGAATAATCAATTTAATAGTTTTTGCAGGTAGGCAAAGTTTCTTCAAATTCAGTTCGAAGCCAACATACCATTCAGGAACTCACACTGAGAAAGTCAGATAACAAAATAGCTATGAGCCCCAAGATACATTCTAAACAGTAGAAGACATCTCAAAAAATATTAATGGCTATGTCTACACTGACAGTTTATAAGCAAAGCAAGAGCACTGAAAGAGTTCATTGTACTATGACATTATCCAAGAATTAAGTGAATGTTTTGCGTATAATGATTATTACAGGTGCACTCCACCTACTAAATTTATTATTTCAAGCACAAAACCTTAAGTTCATAGAATGGCTTGGGTTAGAAGGGAACTTCTAACCCTCTATCATGGGCAAGGTTAACAACCACTAAATCAGGCACTAAATCAGTTTGCCCAGGGGCCCATCCAACCCGTCCTTAAACACCTCCCAGGATGGGGCATCCATAGCTTCTCTGGGCAACCTGTTCCAATGCCTCACCACATCAAATCATTTGAGGTGGAATGAACTCTTAAAGATCACCTAGTCCAACTCCCCTGTTGTGAACAGACATCTACAGCTACACCAGGTTGCTCAGAGCCCCCTCCAGCATGAATGTCTTCAGGGATAGGGCATCCACCACCTCTCTGGGCAACCTATTCCAGTGCCTCATCACCCTTAACATATATATATACACATACATACACACACATTCAATCTAAATCTCCTTTCTTTAAGTTTGAAACCATTTTCCCCTATCCTATCACAACAGACTTCACTAAAGAATCTGTTCCCTTCTTTCTTACAGCCCTCCTCCAGATACTGAAAAACCTCTATCAGGTCTCCTCAGCATAGACTTGTCTCCAGACTGAACAGCCTGCCCTTGTAGGAGAATTGCTTCAGCCTTTGGATTTATTCTAAACATGTGCCAACAGGTCCATATCACTCCTGAGCTGAGGACTCCACATCTATACACAGTACATCATGTGAAGTCTCATCAGTGGAGAACACAGGGGCAGGATCACCTCCATCAACCTGCTGGCCATGCTTCTGATGCAGTCCAGGCTGGCTTTCCAGTTGGCTTTCTGAGATCATGGCACATAGTTGTCTTGTGTTCATCTTGCTCTCCACCAGTACCTGTTTTTGGCAGGGCTGTACTCAATTATTCCTTTCATCCCCCATCTTGTATTGGTAGTGGAGATTGTCACAACCAATGCGCAAGATCTTGCACTCTCAGGCCCACTTCTTGAGCCTGTCCAGTATTGGAAGGCCACAGTGAAGTCTCTTTGGAGCCCCCGCAAGGCTGAACAAGCCCAGCTCCCTAAGCCTGTCTTTGTAGAAGAGCTGTTCCAGACCTCTGAACATCTTCAGAGCGCTCCTCTGGACCTGTTCAAACAGCTATCTTTCTTGTGCTGGGGGCCTCAGGCCAGGATGCAACCCTCTCAATAAAGCTATGCGAGAGCAGAAAAGAGAGGGACAATTGTCTCCATTTTCCTGTTGGCCACTCCTCTTTTGATGCAGCCCAGGACATCATTGCCTCATGGGCTGCAGGTGCACACTACTAGTTCATGTCCAGCTTTTCACCCACCAGAACCCCCAAGTCCTTCTCAGAAGGGCTGCTCTCAATGAGCTGTTCTGCTAGTCAGCACACATACTTTGGATTTCTCCAGTCCAAGAGCAACTGCTTGCACTTAGCCTTGTTGAACCTCAATTCATTTCATGTGGGCCTATTTCTCAAGCATGCCCAGGGCCTTCTGGACAGCATCCCTTCTGTCATATTAACTGAGCCCACTCAGCTTGGACTCCTCAGCAAACTTGCTTGGAGTGCATTCAGTCCCACTACCCAGGTGACTGACAGAGAGATGCTGAAGAGCACTGGTGTAGAGACAGACCCCCTGGGGGACACCATTAATGACTGGCCTCCACCTGGATGCAGATCCATTGACCACAGCCCTCTAAGTACAACCATCCAACCAATTTCTTATCCATTAAGGCCTTGACATCAACCTCACATCTTCAATGAAAGTAAAACTTCACTAGGAGTCAAAAGGGGCAGCAAAAATACAAAAATTATATAATTTTGCTTTGCACTCTGAAGCAGGAAAAAATTTTCACTAGATTTTAACAATCATCAGTTAATCTGCTGGACAGTGTCATTTTAGCTAAAATGAATAACAGCCTACTATAGTCGTTATTGTATTTATGTTTTGCAGTTTTAGGTAGACTACAGAATAAGTAGCAGGCAGTGCTGCCAAATTCTATTAAACAATTTTGGTGACAATTATTTAATACTTCAGAATGATTTAAGGCTTACTAGTAGCTTTTAAACATTCACAAGCCCCAAACACAAAAGTGATTCGAAAAGCAAAAACAAACTAGATCTGACCAGAGCACTACACCTATCAAGAGCTCACACAAATAAATCTGAAATATTCATATACTCAGCAAAACAATTCTGATACTATTTTATGTGAGTTTAGTATAGACAAAAATCGATCTTTGAAACTTGATAAGAAAACATCTAACATGAAATATTGTTTTATATCTGAAAAAGCTAAACTTGCTCAAAACTGCAAAAAAACCTCTGGATGGTCATTTCACAGCTAACAGTCAAATGACTCAATTTTATCAACAAAAATAGACAAGCAGCCACAGAAGGAATAAACTTGTGGAAAAGCAATTCATCACTTGACTTTCTAGTATTTTACAGAAAACAGCACAAAACAACAAGGAAAAATTTTATTGGAAGTTCCATTTCTTAAAGTTGCCACAAATATTGATTAATAATACGTATTTTAAGTCAGAGCTACACTGCATTTCACTACTAGCCTTCTTTACTGTGACAAGCAAATCCAGCTGCTGACTTTACCACAAACTTCATCAGCATCTCCAGCTCATTTAACAAGGCACAGCACTGCTGAACATGTCAAGTTTCCACTGCATGAAAGAAATGCTAAACAAATGAATTCCTGAGTGTATACTCATGAAAATTACAACAGCACATAGTATAGCAGTGCATGCAGTCAAAATATTCATTGAACTCTAGAGAAACTCTACGACATGAAAATAGCTTAGATTATGAGTGCTGACAATCATTTGTTGCTTGTGTGACAGTAGATAAAAGCAAGAATCTGAAAAACCTCCCAAATTCTCATGGAGTGAGAAAGGCTGCTTCTCAATAGCTGTAAGTGAAGTAGTGTTGGGCCAGTTGTAAAAATTTAGTAACACCTGGTCAAGTAGGTGGTACTTACTGAATCCTCCAAGAGTTGAAAGAATGCCACAAAGTCAAAGGCTGATCAGTGTACTACTGCACACAGCCTACTGAAAGCAGGATAGATTGAGAAAAACCTAGAAATGGGAAATGAAAGTCATGAAAGCAGGAGATACCAATAGAGCAATAATTGTCTAGGAAAGGTTAGGTATCCTGGCCTCAGACTGCATAAAGCTCACAAGCAGCTTTATGATATGAAGGGAGCATCTTCCTGCCAATCTTTCCCAGATAAGTAGCCATTTCCCCATTGGGAAGATGAGAATGAATGGATGTAACTCTGCAAAATCCAGTCTTACATTCAGAAATACTAGCAAACAAACCTGTGTATAATAGAGGCAAAGAAAGAGTTATCAGTTAAAGGTGCTGGTGAAAATATCAACGAAAGCTACAAAATGAGAACATTTGAGCAGTTCACTTTATTTATATTAGCTCACTTAACTTTCCCATCAGGGTTCCCACAAAGCAGCATTTGCTGTAAATTGCTGATATCCTCTTGATGTAGCTTGTAGGGAGCTTCCAGACATCCAGCATCAGGCTCCACATTCTGTTTGATTCCTTTGAACTACTTATAAATAATTCACTGCAAGTTTCCCCATGGTCATGTTTAAATAGAGTTCAGCTCATTCTAGTTTAAGGGAGCATAGAATGCCTAATCAAGCTTCAGTACCTGCTCTCAACATCTGAATTCATCTGACCTTTAAAATGTCTCACTGGTAGCAAACAAATTTGTTGCCATTAGTTGAGCAGTCTTGGCTACATATGCTTAGCTTATGATCAGGATCTACATTCCAGTTTGCCACATCAACATGGATATTGCAGTAGTTGGCACTGAATACTTACAGGAAAAAAACTGAATTTTTTAGTAAGAGTCCACTATTTGTTACCAGTACCCACAAATTGACTAAGCAACTCTCTTAAAAAGACTTACAATACTGGAACTGAATTCAAATTCAGCAGTTCCCAGGACTCTGCTGTTCTGAAAAACTGCAAGGAGAGGCATACTCTATTTCAAAAAAAAAAAAAAAAAAAGCAAGCTGTGATTTTTGAAGAGTCCACAAACAAGTAGAACTTAATTTCCACACAGTTTAATAATGGTCAGTTTGACTTATAAAGAGATATTCTAAATTGTAACTTCAGTTAGCATTAGAACTTTAGAAATCTGTACTAATATTTTCTTTCACTTGTCACCAATGAGTATGCAAAGACACACTTTCAGCCTCAAAAATACAGCTCAGTAACAGTGTAACTAACCTTATTTTAAAAAGACATGAATATGTTTAAGAACTATGTTTATATGAATACAGGCTTGTAAACAAGTTGGCAACATCCATGTTAAATATTAAAAAAGTCACAGAAAAAAATATTAGAAGTTGAGATCTTCACTTTTTCATTGGTTATAAGCCTGGCAGCCAGCATCTTCAGAACTGAACTATACCAACACACTGCAACCACACTGAATATTGTCATTTATACTAATGACTTCCTCTGACAAGGCCAAAAAGACAGCTCATAGTTATTAGAGGATTCCACCGTAGCTTAGTGGTGACAACAGTGAAAAGGACATTATTCACATACTAGGAACTTGCTACTTCAAGTTCATGGCTCTGGCCTATTTTAAGTAAAGTTTCTTACCAGCTATAGCTTTAAACAGAAATTCCAGAAATGTCAATGCTCATGCAGAAATTGCATCCACCTGAAAGTGAAAACTCAACACAAGTTTTTCTAGCAATGTTTATACCAGCTGTTTTGTAGGATTTTAGCTGATTTTATTTATAAGCTTGAATAAAAAGAACAGTGCTCTGTAAATTTGGTATGAAAATATTTAAAAAGCACAAGAGAGAAACAACATGAGTTATGAAATAACAGCAGTCAGTTTATCAAACTGTACATTAGAAAGTTACACATACGTCATAAAACAGTTCTCTGTATTATTCAAATTCAGTTTCACAATTTGCTCTGATACAGTGATCGTTTTCAAGCATTTTTTGACCTCATGTTAGGAAGTACACTTATTTTCTCTATTTTACAGGTGCAAGGATGTTTATTTTGATAGCAATTCCATGGGGATATTACTTTCAACAAAATATTAAGTTGCATGTTCCTATCTTGAAGGCAAAAGGCTATCAACAGTAATAAGCTGACAGTTCATCATCACTCATGTCTGAATCATCTTCATCCAGTTCACCCTCAATGACTGACTTCTTGCCTTTGCAGCATGATACAATTAATCCAATTAAGAAGACCTGCAAGTCACAAATTAGTAAAATTACTTTTACTGAAGGACAACATATGGAAAACTGAATGATGGAAAACTGAATGGCAGTATGAGTATGCAAATTTCAGTGATTTTTATCTCAAGATCAAAATACTTACTGCAATGAATGCCCAGTTCCCAAAGTAATAGACAGCACTGAAGAACCAAAATTTATGAAGAAAAAGGTATGTACGAGTAACAATACACTGATCTAAAAGGAAAGCAAATAGTAATGGTTAACACAGAACAAATACAAGTCAGCTAATTCCAATTTTCTTATAGGAAAACAGTTCAGCACTTTCAGAGGGTATTCAGCTTTTAAAAATAACTCCACCTACTTAAATCAAGTATGCTACTCCTTCTCAAAAAGGTACAGGAGAGGGATATTTGATTTTGAGATACTGAACATGAATACAGATGGCACTAGAAGCTGATGTAAGTAAATCCATTAGCATCAGATACTTGACAGATATGTTAATTACTGGCTGTTCTGACAGATCCTATTGCAAAATCATTCTCTTTTGGATGAATTGGTATCAATAGCAAGGAGATACAAAGCAGATTCTGCAGTAGAAATGCACTTTAATACCTCAAATCAGAATTCCCCAGAAGCTGCTTTACCACCACCACATACCACAGCTCACTGGTATGAGTTAAGGATAGCCCTCACCAGGAAGGCCTGCTGCTCGACCATCCCCAGATGACCTTCTCCCTGACCAAAACTGTGGTGCCTAGAATACCTTTATCAAAACTGACAAATTCCTGTCCTTTAACAGTTCAGTGATTTATACTTAACAATATTTAAAATTCTTCTGTTAGTTTTAAGTTTAACTACTACTTTGTGTACCACACTGATCTCTATTTGCCTTACAGGCTATGAGATAGCATTAACTAACAAAAAGTTAAACTGGTATTTCACAGCTATTAAATATTAGACATACAACACTGACACATTCTACAAATCACTCAAGTGTAAAACATCTCTTGCAGAGAAAGAAGACTTTACTATCAAATAAAAGCAAACAGAAATGGAAAAGGAATTTTGCTAAAGTAATCCTTCTTGGTTCTCTATTTTTCTTCAAAGAATGGAGATCAATTCTTTTATTTCCCTCTTAACACCCTTCAGTAGTACATATGGAAAAAGGAGGAATAGTAATAATTTAGCACTTTACTGATAAAGCAAGAAATACTTCTAGCATGACGGTGCTTCACAATTGCAAGTAGTATTATCAACACCATCTGCAGTTCTCCAGCTGGTTACTTCAATTAAAAGCAGCTAAAAACTTTCAGATGTCTCTCTACAGTAACTGGATTAAATAGATGATAAATATTTTAGAACACTTAGACCTTGAGAAAAACATCTCAATGGAATCTGTCAGAAGTTCAACTAACTTTTAGTTAATTCCCTCTGAACTAAAACATCACTGATGTAACGACATTTAAATTCCTGTAATGATAATTGAGAATAAGTGGATGAATAACCTTAATTAGGATAAAAACGTTGTTAAGAATGATAGTTATTCATGAATATTACTGACAATTCTTTGATCTCTGTGAACACTGTAAACAAAGGCTGGAAACCTACCATGCTTGATAGGCAATTAATCACTAAGAATAAAGCATACTATACAGTGCTGACCAAGCAACAGAACCAAAAATCAAGATTCAAAATAGAACAGCTTCTTAAACAAAGGATGCCCAGCAACACTGCTAACAGCCACAATTACCTGAAGTTGACTATGTTTTGTCAGATCCACTGAAAGTTTTGATCCTGGCGAATTAGTTTTAAACCCTTAAGCTCCATTTACTTATATTCTTGAACAAAGGCTTTTTCTTAGAACTGAATTGTAAGGATAAAGAAATGTGTAATATATAAACCTTGAAGTATACACAATTATTTTAGGCAATGAAATGCACAGGTCATAGTAACAGTCTACCATTTCTGAATCTAAAAATATAGTGAGCTTTCACAAAAGGATTTAAAAAACAGTTTTAGGGAAGAGATACTAACTGTGAATACAGAACTGCACAACACTGACATTCTTTGGAGGAGTTAATACTGAGGTAGACACTGGCTTCATTTGTTCGTTAATGGTCTGGACACTGATAGACTACAGCCACAGTAAAAGCCCAGATGAAATTACAGATAGCAGAGAACAGAGGTCAAATACACTATACAAATAAGGACACTGTTCTGAGGGAACCTAATATTTCAGCCCCTTGAAATAATCCTTGAAGTGCAACAAAGAAGGGAAGTACTGCCACCTTAAACAAAGTAACACCATGCAACAGTGCAGGCTAAAAACTGATGAGGTACAACAACTCTGCATGAAGTCTGCAACTTTGCAAAAGCTACTTAGTCAACAAGAAAGTGCCCCAGTGCCCTAGTGCCCTAGTATACAAGCCAGAAGCACAGCTACCAGTGTGCAGTTGCAACTGAAAAAGCTAACCAAAAATCATGCTTCACTAACAAGAACACAGCTAGCAAGTCCAAGGAAGAGATTACTTCTTTCAACTCTAATTGGAACTGCATTTGTGATACTTCAGACTCCCTAGTATAAGAGAAACAGGGGCACAATGGAGCAAGTCTGGCAGAAAAACACTGAAACAGCTAAAGCACTGGCATATAATGAAGATTTGTTCATTCACCTTGGAGTAAAGGTGTTGCAGGTGTGCCTTATTGCTACCTCTGCTATGTAGCAAGGGATTAAAAATAAAAGGAAAGACTCTTAAAACGACCTGCACAACAAAATGACAATGGATGACAGACAAGCTGCAGCAAGAAATATTCCTGTCAGATAACAAGTAAAACTTCATTTCAGCAGGCAAAGTTTTCAACTTCACACAGGTTTCCGAATTCATCTGTTGGAGACACTTATAGCAAGTAGATGGACTTGAGCAACCTGCTCTGCCCAATCCTACTGGAGGGTTGGAGCAGATCTCTCTCTTGTATGCTCAAATTAGTTATAATCCATATTACATCAAGGTATGTACAAGGACACCACAAACATCTAACACTTTACATGACATTTTGGATAGACATTATCAGTCTCAGTCAGTTTTCAACTACACACAGTCAAGTCTTGATTTCAAGCAGACCTAATTTTGGTAAAAATACACTCTTAGAAGAGAACCTAGTGCATGTTAGAATGCACTGTATATTAAAGAAATCATACAAGCATCTAAGGCATGGCCTCAGGTACTCAAAAAACATCTCAGAGGGTCCTGTAGCCACACAAAAGCTCTGCAGCAGAAAGCAGATGCTGCTAACAGTACAACTTGCAACTTGAGTTTCAAGAATGGGTTTGATGCATCTGTAGACATTAATCATCTACCAAGATCCAAAAGGGTTGAGATTTCAACAAATAAATGGTAATTAAGGGGAAAACATACATTTCATCCTTACCAACATTACTTCCTGGCCTATGCCACTGCTCCTAATTTAAATAATTTAAAACTTGGATAAGTAAGATGGAATGATGGTTAGTACACATCCATGGTGCAGTACTTCAACTGTGAAATCTCAAACATTCTTCTTAGCCTTCCACTCATTTCCAGATATTACTTCCCATGGTGCTTTATGTGAAACACATTCCTGAATACTTCACTTAGCTTATATGACTCAAGACATGTATTATTTTATGTTGCTGAATGAACAACATTCCTACAGGCCAAGTCAGTTTTTCATTAAACAGCATTTGTAGCACTAGCACTTAATCTTCCTATGGTTTTCCTGAAACAAAGAGCTAAATTGTATTTTGACAAATAGGGTAAATAACTGCAGCAGGAGTGGTTGGTCTGGATGCAGTAATTCATGAAATACTTGCTTGATAGAACTTCTGGAAATCTGAGTGTTACCTGGAACATACAAGTTGTATCAATATAAACATTCTTCTGATAAAAATGAGAAAAACACTACAATTCCTATGAACTGAGTAGGAGAGGGCAGAAATCTCAGTTTTAAAAGTGGTCTCAGAGAAACATTTTTTTTACTTAGAATGTACAGCACCAGAAAATGAAGCAGCCTGTGGATTGATTTGAAAAAGCTATAATAGCAGAAGTTTTTTTCTTGGAATCACTCAACTATCCATTTAGCGCATTGCTTAAAGGATGTCACTAAGGTAGACTAAGGGCTCTGAAAAACCATTTTGTTAAATATATGGCAATATCTCAGCAATATAAGTAATGTGTTGCAAACTCCAAAATAAAAAGAACTTATTAATTGGATATCTCATCTTAGACAAGTTATATGGTTTAATTCAGACCATGAGAAAAACTACAGAAACACTAAAGCAGCATAGGCTAATCTGTGGCTACAGAGCATAATGAAAAGTCCTACTACTATGTTTTGTCTTGCAACTCAGCATTTCACTAGGGAAATAAGAAAATTTAGTCAATTTATAATAACCAAACTGACCAAATATTTTGGTCAGTAAGTACTAAGTACCTTAATCTATACAAAGAAACTGTGTAAGATGATGGCCCACAAAAAACACATTGCAAGTAGGTAAGAAATCAAGGGACATCCAACAGTGTAAGAGACCTATAGTCATATTTGTCATCCTGTGATATGTCCAATTCATTTCTCTCAAGAGAACAGCAAAACTTTCACTTCTGGTAAGGTTTCATGTTGAGTGATCAGAATCTCTTTTGACCACCAGATGGAAGAAATGCTACAGCCCTGGAAAGTATCCGGAGACACACAACTGTTTCTCACAGTTAAAAACATTTGTTTACACATAACAGTGGAAACAGGGATCAAGTATTAAAATTTAAATACTCCACTAAAGAAACAGAACGTGGACTTGTTTGAAGTTCCAGCTTTGCTAACAGACCAAAGCATTCAGATAGAGAAGATAAAATAAGCTTCAGGCATCCTCAGATTTAAGCAAGTCTATCACAACTTTCTAATTGTAAGCTTCCTCTTCACCTTGTACCTATGAGCTAGCAACTTACCAGACTCACACACTTTTCTGCTTCTGTTAAGGTTATTCCAGGTCTTCAATCTGCCACTGAAGTTTGATGTTTAGAACTATTTTTATATATCACTTTCTCAGGTTTCAAAGGAAAGATTTACAGAGTGGTAATAACAAAGCCACAAGTCACAAATATAATTTTTATCAAAGATGGTTAAACAAGGAAAAAGTGACTTTTTGTTGCCGGTTACTCAGCAGTTTCTACATGAAAAGTAGCTGCCATATATCTCATCTG